AATATGTAGTATTTAGTAGTAAGTTCTGAGTGTTTCTGATGACAGGTATTAGATACTGAATAAGGTGAAAGGATATAACTAAAGAAATAACACTAGTTTAATGTTTCCCACAAACCAACTTCCCTCCCTCCCTCCATTTCTTTCTTTCTTTTTTCTTCTACACTTTGCTGTTTTATTATTTCCAAATCTCAGGCTTATGTACAGGAGGTAAGAGCACTGATAAAATTAAAAAACAGACCTAAAATGGCCTGGCTGGTGTGTCCAGCAGACCACATGGGGCAGTGGCCCTTGCCCTACCCCCTACCCTCCGGGACCTGGGGGTCTCTTGGCACTTTGTGTCTCCTAGTGACCAGCTGTCAGCAGCTCCAGCCTGGCACTGTGGGGCACATCTCTGGCCACCAGGCACCCTTGCAGCCTGCTACCCTTTCCTTATCAGGTGGATTTCATAGCTGCCACGGCAGAGCTCAGGGCACAGTCTACCATCCTGTCTCCAGAGGGCTAGAGTGGCCAGAGGTCCCACAAACTTTCTTAATTTTATTTCTCCCTTTGCTTCAGGGCCATCATGACTTTGTTTTGATTTTAAATTTTACTTTTAATTTTAAAATGGAACATGCAACATTTCCTTTAAATGTTATTATTTGATTAGCAATTATAAACCTAATAACCATTTATTTTGAAATGCTAATGCTCACACCAGAAAATTTCCACTGCATATAGTATCATTTTGGTACATTAAAAAATGTTGCTAAAAGAGATGATTTGGAAGAAAATATCCAGATTGACATAATCTTAACAAAGCAATTTCTAAAGAAAAAACTGAAAAGTTATACAAAAAAACTCTCCAATGGTTGAGTCATTGAGGTCTTTGAAATATTAAAAAGCCAATTGCTTCCAAATACTATAATAGTAAACATATAATTTCAGAATGTGGAAAAATATGACTCTAGAGATTGTGCAGACCCAAGTATCTTTGAACAGTTACTTAGATTCTGTAAGCCCTAGTTTCCTCATTTATAAAATAAGGATAATAATACTATCTATGCCCCAGATTTTTACTCTAATAAATAAATAAGACAATATGTGTAAGGCATATGGCAGAGTCCAACACCAACACATGGTGTACGATCAACATAAGTTGTTGTCATTATCACTGATAACACTGGAATAGCACTCATACCTAAGAATCCACAGCCTTCCTCCATGCTGGCATTAATGTAGCAAAAAAAAAAAAAAAGTAAAAAGACCTTACATATAAAAGGAATAAAGACCAGAAGTAAATGTATTGAAAAAAATCTTTTGCAGAAAAATTTTGCAAAACTCATTTTAAGACATCTTAATGCATATTAATACATAATTTAGAGAGGCATACTCTACCTAAATGAGAACACGTAATGTTAAAAAGATATCCTTCTTTACTGGACCCAATGGAACATACCTGTAATCCCAGAAGCTTGGGAGGCTAAGGCAGGAGGATTGCAAGTTTCAGGCCAGCCTCAGCAACTTAGTAAGGCCCTTAGCAACTTAACAAGAATAAAAGGACCGGGGGAGCTGGGGCTGTGACTTAGTGGTAGAGTGCTCACCTAGCATGTGCGGGGTGCTGGGTTCAATCCTCAGCACCACATAAAAATAAAGGTACTATGTTCAGCTACAACTAAAACAAAATATTTTAAAAAAAGGGACTGGAAAATAGCACATGGTAAAGCACCCCTGAGTTCAATTCCCAGTACCCTCCCTAAAAAAATCATTCTTCCCAAATTAATGTATAGGTTTAACACAATTCCAAATAAAGTATTAAATAAATGAATCTATATTGTTCCTCTGGAAGAATAAATGAGAGAAAAGTTAAAAATCATAAAATAAGAAAAAGAATGATGAGGGGAGCTTCAAGGTTAATAATGAAAATAGTTTGATACTATACTTTTTTAAAAATTGTAGATAGATACAATATCTTTAATTATTTTTATGTGGTGCTGAGGATCAAACCCAGGGCCTCGCAAGTGCTAGGTGAGTGATCTACCGCTGGGCCCCAGCCCCAGACCTGATACTATACTTTTTAAAACATAACGTTATGAATGGAATAGCTGTCTCTGCCCTGCTATACATAGACCCTCACGAGTCATAAATCACTTGCAAATTGATAGGAGAGGATGGGGTGGACTTGCGGGGGTAACCCCACCTTGCTACCCTCTACTCTCATGGAGCAAAAATGCCAGCTAAACTTGTGCCAGGAATGCTGTCCTAGCCATGTCCTGACTTAAGTTTGACAGTAGAGAAAGAGGAATTTAAGCCTTGGAGTTAAGATTTTGCCTTTGATATTGCTTGAAATTTTTACATTTGTTAGGGATTGCCTCCTTGGTATGATTAAAGATCCAAAGAACAACAAGTCAAAGGTCTTTGCGGGGGCATCAGAGGTCACGGGTTACATGCTGAGCCTCACTTCAGATCTAACCTAAAGGGTCAGGATGAGAGATGACATAATCCTGGTCCAAAATTATCTTACTTCTGCCAATAAAAACTGTCCTAACTTATCCCAGGGACAATATGAAGAAATTATTCTGTTGCTTATACTTCAGTTACAAAAATATTTTGATGTTAGGATTTGAGTCCCTGGGTTCGAGAACATCTATTGCTTAAAAAATTACCAAAGGTATGATTTTTTTTTTTTTTTTTGTGGTACTTGGAATTGAACCCAGGCTTGGTCTGTCACTGAGCTACATCCCCAGTCCTTTTATCTTTAAATTTTGAGACAGGGTCTCATTAAGTTGCCTAGGCTGACCTCAAATTTGCAATCTTCCTGTCTCAGTCTCGAGAGTAGCTGGCATTACTGGTGTGAGCCACCACACCCAGCACAAAAGGTAAACTATACAATTCAAATATCATTTAATCTGCTACTGCTTATATGTTGCTAACATACTTTCAGCAGCTGACACACTGCTAGAGAAATTGTTAAAAAGACTACATTACCCCCAAATTTGATAACAGGTAGAACATTTATATATAAATAGAATTATAAAAGAGGAAAATAGGGGCCTGGGTTATGGCTCAGTGGTAGAACGCCTACCTAGCATGGGTGAGGCATGGATTCGATCCCTGGCACCACATAAAAATAAAAGGTATTGTGTCCATCTACAACTAAAAAATATTTTAACAAAATAAGAAAACATATGAAACTAAAACTAAGAAATAATTCAATAAAGGGAAATAATCGCCTTAACATGAGTCCAGGGAATGTAACTAGTCATCCTAATGTTTGTGTCTGCTCCCCACCCACATCTAAGGAAGGACCATCTCTATTCGACTTTGTATTCCTAGAATGGCACATGGTAGATACCCAGTGAGTGCTGTTAAGTAAAGAGAACATTTCACTAGATTGAAAGAGTCACATAGTTTATAGTGGAAAATGAATTACAGAACTTTTGAAATAGGTAGTTTAAAATATATTTAAAACTTTCCAGTATCTAGGCAGAAAAGTGGAAACATTTTTAAGTAGAAATTTCTTAGAGTTTGCTGTAATGAATACTTTTTTTTTTAAATAAATGAATAATATCTTGGGCTGGGGTCGAGGCAGAGGTAGAGCACTTGCCTAGCATGCATGAGGCACTGGGTTTGATCCTCAGTACCACATTAAAAAAAAAAATAAAGGTATTGTGTCAATCTACAACTAAAAACTAAATGTTTTAAAAAAATGAATAATGTCTTTTAAAGTAGTTTGTTTTCATTGGGCATACTGGCACACACATGTAATCCCAGCTAATTGGGAAGCTGAGGCAGGAAGATCACAGTTCAAGCTCAACCTAAGCAACTTCGCAAAACTGTCTCAAAAATAAAAATTTGTAAAAGGGTTAGGGAGAGCCTAGGGCTGGGGCTCAGTGGCAGAGCACTTGCCTAGCACATGTGAGACACTGAGTTCAATTCTCAGCACCAAATATAAACAGATAAATAAATAAATAAAAATAAAGGTCCATTGACAACTAAAAAAATATCTTTTTAAAAAAGGGCTGGGGGCTGGGGTTGTGGCTCAGAGGTACAGTGCTCACCTACCATGCATGAGGCACTGGGTTCAATCCTCAGCACCACATAAAAAATAAAATAATATAAAGATATTGTGTCCACCTATAACTAAAAATAAATATTTAAAAAAGGGCTGGGGATATGACTTAGTGGCAGAGCTCTTGCCTAGCATGTATGAGGTACTGGATTCAATACCTGGTACTACAAACAAAAACCTTTTTTTAAAAATTTGAGTTAAAGTATGCATGCTTTTTGTTTTGCTTTGTTTTTGTGGTGGTGAGAATCAAAATCGGGGCTTTGTACATGCTTAGGCAAGTGCTCTACCACTGAGCTACATGTCCAACCCTAAGGTATTCATGATTTCTAAAGTTTGTTTTCCATTATTATTTTTTCTAGCAAAGATTAGGCTCACAAATTATAAGAATTACATATATTCTGAGTTAATAAAGAACAAATAAAATTATAATGGTGTTACTACCGCTGCTGAGTAGAAACAGATTAAATAAGACAATAAACTAACATTTCTTCCCCCAAATTTAGAAATCTGCTCAGTCCTATTGCTCATTCAGTCCACTGAATGTATCTCCCATTCTTATCACTGTTATGCTGAACACTTTCTATTTAAATGACTTACAGAAAGAAAGCCCTGCCTGGTCTGCTCACAGATATCATAGTCACCTGTTTATCATCTGATGTGAGTTGTCATTACATGTGAGTTGTATCTGGTAATGTACCAACTGCAAGTCACTATTTCTGTCCTCAAGAAGATAATAATAGTCCAATTGCAGAAATACAATGCAAAACCACAGAAAATAATTCAAGGTCATCCAATGTTAGGGTCAAATTTTGTGGTACAGCTACTGCTATGAAAATTGGAAGGTGGTCAAGGAAAGCCTTGTTAGGAGAAGGAACACTGGATATGAGCTCAGAAGTTTGGGGAATATTCAAGCTATTGAAAAGAAGGCATGCTGTTTGGGAAAGCATCCTACCTGAGATTTTTTCCATCTCTTCCAATAGCTTTTCCAAGTCCTTATTCAGGTCTGACAGCATTCGTAGCATATTGTCGTAATTTCTTTCCCCAGGGTCAGAATCAGCCATCTAGGTGGTGCACAGCAAGAAGCTGCCATGAGATGGACTGGCATTTCACTTCTACTCCACATTCCACAGCCAGTGATTCTTTAAAGAACTCTTCCCTGGCTCTTAGATTCCGACAGTACCACTTACTCCAGAGGCATGAGCAGCAGTTGCCAGGGAGACTGGGTCCTGACTTGAGTAGGCAACTCATTCACGTTTCCAACTATAGTTCTGTACTTTGTAAAAGGGAACGGCTAATAGTACCTGTACCTTATGGATAAGGTTTTTGTAAGGATTAAATGTCATAAATCATGTACTCTTCTGCAAGTACCTACAGTAATAAACACTTAATAAATCATATTTATTGTTATTTAAAATATTGAATGCTAACAAAATTACTCCAGATCTTCTTCTGATCTTGACTAATCACATCAATTCATCCCATTAATAATTGATGCTTATCTATTTAACTACAAGACTCTGGGCTAGAAAAGAAGGGAGAAAAATAATTAATGAGGCCATAGAAACTGCCAGGGAATTTGCACTCTGTGAGATTATGAGGGAAGAAACTAGGTGACTGTTAATCAGGCAGGGATGGCCCCAAACATAACGTTGCTCTCAGGGTGCGTGTGCACGTGTGGGGTACAGTTCTTGGCTCTTGCTATAGTAAGAGGCCTCCATTTCGTAGCCTATGGCTCCCAGGCCTCTCCCATCACGGCAGGTCTCAACTGGTGTTGGGCTTGTGCTGACGGTCTTGTCGACCCTTCTCATTAAATAAGGAGGAGCAGGGGTGAGGGGTGAGGGGTGAGGTGAGGGGTGAGGGGTGAGGTGAGGGGTGTGAGGTGAGGTGAGGGG